GTATGGTAGTAGTAGTATGGTAGCAGTAGTAGTATGGTAGTAGTAGTATGGTAGTAGTAGTATGGTAGTAGTAGTATAGTAGTAGTAGTAGTAGTAGTAGTAGTAGTAGTAGTAGTAGTAGTAGTAGTAGTAGTAGTAGTAGTAGTAGTAGTAGTAATAGTAGCAGTAGTAGTAGTAGTAGTAGTAGTTGTTGTTGTTGTTGTTGTTGTTGTAGTAGTTGTTGTTGTTGTAGTTGTAGTTGTAGTTGTAGTTGTAGTAGTAGTTGTTGTAGTTGTAGTAGTAGTACTAGTAGTAGTAGTAGTAGCAGCAGTAGTAGTAGTAGTAGTAGTAGTAGTAGTAGCAGTAGTAGTAGTAGTAGCTGTAGTAGTAGTAGTAGTAGCAGCAGTAGCAGCAGCAGTAGCAGTAGCAGTAGCAGTAGCAGTAGCAGTAGCAGTAGCAGTAGCAGTAGCAGCAGCAGCAGTAGCAGTCGCAGCAGCAGCAGCAGCAGCAGCAGCAGCAGCAGCAGCAACAGCAGCCGCAGCGGCAGTGGCAGCAGCCGCAGCAGAAGCGGCAGCGGCAGCGGCAGCGGCGGCAGCGGCAGCGGCGGCAGCGGCAGCGGCAGCGGAAGCGGCAGCGGCAGCGGCAGCAGCAGCAGCAGCAGCAGCAGTAGTAGCAGCAGGAGGAGCAGGAGGAGCAGCAGCAGGTTTCCTTTCTCGCAGAGCCCAGACTATTCAGTCTCTACTAGAGATCAGAGGCGGCCCTAGTACAGGGGGGCAGAATCCTGGATTTGAGAGGCGGAGGAGGAGCGGGAGGATGACGAGGATGTTGTCGCGTCATGGTGGTTTTTTTAAAATTTTGTTTCCAGGGCCCTCAGACCTTTCAAGTTGCTGGCTCAAACCGCAACCCACTCAAGTCAAGGACTGCGCGCAGGAAGGAGGCAAGTCCATGAAGAATTTGATTTTCCTTTGCAGCGCAAGTCGTCCCACACAGAAGCGGAAAATGTGTGAATGTGTGAGAGTTCTAAGCCCCCGTTTGCTGAGCAAGTGCAGACGAGCTGAGAAACATTGCGCTCGTGAACCCAGGTGGGCAGCTTGTGGCTAGGCAGCCTGTGGCTCCAAGCGAAAAAAGAGTGAACCCAAGTAGGAAACCGACGGCCTTGTGAAGTCGCGAAACTGAGCGGTCAATTCACCTCCATGAACCCAAGTAGGAAGCTGATTCATCTGATGGTTACTGTCAGGAGAGTAGGAAGTCTTGATGGTTACTGTCAAGAGCTGCTGAGCTGCTGAGCTGAGCCGCCTGGTGCTGCAAGCCAAGTTGTGAAGTCACGGAGCCTGCTGAGCTGCTGCTGAGCTGAGCCGCCTGGCGCTTCAAGTTGTGAAGTCACGAAACTGACGGGCCAATTTGCTTCCATGAACCCAAGCAGGACGCTTTTCACAGCCAATTTTCGGGTTTTTGGTGTTTTTGGTGTTTTTTGGTGCTATTTTGGTGTTTTTTGTGTCTTGTTTGTGCTTTTTGGTGTTTTTTCGACTCGGGCTGGGGAGTGGGAGCGGGGGAGCGGGGGAGTGGGGGAGTGGGGCAGTACGAGTGGAGGTGGAGTGGGGGAGTGGGTGAGTGGGTTGGGGGTGGAGTGGTGTGGGGGGGGAGTGGGGAGTGAGTGGGGGGGGTGGGGGGGGGGTGGGGGGTGGGGGGGGGGGGTGGGGTGGGGGGGGTGGGGGGTGGGGGGGGGGTGGGGGGGTGGGGGGTGTTGGGGGGGGGGGTGGGGGGGGGGGTGGGGGGGTGGGGGGGGGGGGGGGGTGGGGGGTGGGGGGGTGGGGGGGTTGGGGTGGGGGGTGGGGGGTGGGGCCAAAAAACAATGATGTGCGCACACGCATCATGGTTTTTTTTTCGTTTTTTTTTTTTTCGGGAGTGGGGGGAGGGTGGGGTGGGGAAAAAAACAATGATGCGCGCGCGCGCGCGCGCGCGCGCGCGCGCGCGCATCATGGTTTTTTTTTCGGGGGGTGGGGGAGTGGGGAGTGGGGGAGTGGGGGAGCTCTGTTTTCGGGGCATATGTCTGGGCTCTGTTAATGGGGCAAAACATATTCAGAAGTGCCACTTCTGAAACCCCCCAGGTAGCAGAAGTGCCCAGGTTTTGTAGTAAAGATTGAAAGGATGCACCATCGTTGTCTGCAGACTTTGCCAGACTTCCACAGACTAATTATGTATGAGACTTGTCAATGTCGAAGTGACTTTCACGCAATGGCCGAGACAAAAATAAAGAGCGGAGATTGACATTTAAATTTCGACCGGGCTCCGGGACGCGGACACGTGTATAACGTCAGCCTTCCAGTGAGCCTTCAGCCCGCTCCGTTTTCTCCAGAGTACGTTTCGGACCCTCGCAGTTAACAGCTTCACCCTTGGCACATTGCAAGTCGTAGTTTGTTTTCAATGTTGCCGCGTGTGAGTTAGCTCTTCATGCTGTCCTTTGGCTGGCTCCGCCCTCACACGCAGTTGATGATTGCAGCTTCTGTAGTTTCGGCGTAAGCAATAATAAGGCTTGAGAGGCCCTGGGGTGGCTGGAGCTGCTAGTTGCAGTGCATCCTGGCAGGTGTTATCTAGACAAAAGCCCACAGTGTCAGGCACAGATACATGTCTAACAAGAAGTTTTAGTTTTGCGTGACAAAATGGCTGCTGCTCGCGAGGGGTGCCGGTCCGGCGCTCAACTCTTGGGACGAAGGATGGCAAGTTGTTCAAGCAATTCGACGGTTGAACCAACAATTTACTTTGAGGCCTGACAGAGAGCGCCAACACGATGTGACTGTGGAGGCGCGCCCGGAGCTACGCAACAACGGGTGCGCAGCGTTTCAAGTTGAATCTTTAGCTTGAATGTGGGGGAGGGTAGGGTCTCTTGAAGCCTGACAGGCATGTGACAAGAGCCCGAACATCGCCGTCGTCGACGTCAGGTCCGCAGAGGGTTTGGGGTTCAGGAAAGTGTTTGAAGGTTTCTGATGGGGCTGCGCTACTGGGCCTGGGTTTTTTTGGATTTAGGGGTCTTGCGCTAAGGTTCTGGGGGGCTGGTGGGGGGGGGGGCGGGGGGGATTGTGGGAAAAGGGTGAGTGGTGTGCAACTTGCTCGGCTGCCAGCCAGTGCTCAGTGTAGGGTGACATGGTGCACATGGCCGACCCGCGTCTGACATGTGAATTTAGGCAGACCTGCCGACTTTGAACGTGCCAGTCAGACCAGTCGCATCTTATGTCACTGGATGTTGTGCAACTTGCTCGGCTGCCAGCCAGTGCTCAGTGTAGGCTGACGTGGTGCACATGGGCGACCCGCGTGTGACATGTGAATGGCCCCTAAACCCGAAACCCTAAACCCTAGGCCCTAAACCCTAAACCCTAAACCCTAAACCCTAGACCCTAGACCCTAAACCCTAAACCCTAAACCCTAAACCCTAAACCCTAAACCCTAAACCCTAAACCCTAAACCCTAAACCCTGAACCCTAGACTTGCCGTTGCCGACTTTGAACGTGCCAGTCAAACCAGTCGCATCCTATGTCACTGGACAGTACACATGCAAATAATCATGGTGTGTGATGAGCGCTGCGTGGGGACGGGCGGATTCGAAGGAATCTGGGAATGACACCCAGTCCACAAGAGTGGACAACGTCACCGACTCCGACAGGGATTCGGACCCTGAATGGAGGCCACCTGGGAACGACACCCAGTCCGCAAGAGTGGACTGCATCACCGACTCCGATAAGGATTCGGACCCTGAGTGGAGGCCACCTGCCAACTTCTTCAGCGCTTCGGATGCACTTTAAAGAAGGCAGTCACGCGTGAACCTTTAACTGCAAAGTTTCACTGCCTCGGGTGAGTGAGTTGACATTTGGAAATCAGTGAGGATGGGGAGAGTGATTCACTGTGGTAGGCTTTAATTTACTTTGCAATCGCTTACATAGTCTGCAGCCAAACCAATCAATGTCAAGGAACTTCCCAAGATGCTCAACTCGCCAGAGCGGACACTGCTTCGGGAAGTTGCGCTTCGCAGCCCAGCCCTTTGAGTGCAATCAGAGAAGAGGTTTAGTAGAAGCGTTCAGTTTGTTTTGCTGTTTTTTTGGGCGTTGGGCGTCGCAAGCAGTTGCCCAGGGAGGGACGGTGAGCCTGTGAGACAACCTCCCTGACGAAGCCTAAACCCTAATCCCTCCAGACCTTACATTTGATTTTGATTTGTCTTCCGGGCAGAATTGAGGGTCCTAGGGTATTTATTTAGTTTTTCTTGCCTTGTTTTGAGGGTTTTGTGCAGTGGCCAGCGTGAGACGTTGTTAGCGACGGCGTGCCAACATCTGAGGAGTCAATAGAGGAGGCCCTCAAGAAGAGCAGGCCGCGAAATCAGGAGCCAGTCAGACCGAAAAAATGTTCGAGATGGTTTGATTGGGCTTGAGAAGTTAGGCGGTGTGACCCAGCAAGATTTTTAAAAATCACGCTGTTGCAACTTTGGACCAGGAGAGCAGCGTCAGAAAGGCGCTATCTCTGCGGCTTCTCTTCGGGAGCGGATGAGCAAACCATGTGATTGCCTCTCGCGGCGGCGCAAAGCTGAGTCAGCAAACGCGCTGTCGTGTTACCACAGCTTCCTGACGGACAACAGCCTTTTCAACAGGCTGCTTAGTTACGTTAACAGTTGGTTGGCCCTGGACAAGCTCGAGCAAGATCAGTTTGTTCCTTACTCTGCTCAGAAAACACTTGATTTTTAGTTTTTTCGTTCCTGGTCGTCATGATTCAATAATAACTCAAAACAATTCCGAGCGCATGTATCTTTAGACTGTCATATCGCTTGCTGAGTTCAGGTGTTCTGCCGACTGCGAGAGCAGGCACTGGAACAGAAGATCATCCAGCCAGATAGCGGCAAAAGGACAGGATGAAGATGCCCAAGTTATCACTACATCATATTCAACAGTGTTGGTGGAGGATTAACTGCCCCCTAGGATCTACACCTTGACCCCTCAACCCTGGCTGATTTCACATATTTGCTCTAAGTCGATGAGTCGATGCTTCTTGGGTTGGGCCCTCTTAGGACAGATGAGCGTGGCGGACTGAAGTACCACATCTTGGATATCCAAGTGTGCCGAGCTGCCTTTGCGTCGCTTCACCTCATGGGTCAGGCTCCGCGATTGAGGAACTTGGTCAAGGCTGTCATGGAAGGTCGCACGCAGGCGCCCACAGACCCGCGCTACCTCAAGCGTGAGAAGTCCCAGACGTCGGTTAAGTCCGGAGAGGTCTACTCGTACCTGGAAACCTTGTACCAGTCGGTTGCCGAGCGTTTGCCTGAGGACGACGCAGCTGAGCTGGAGTGTGGTGAGGAGGGAAGCGACGACTCCGAAGCTGAGCAATCCAATATCCTGCTTCAGGCCGACTGTGAGGCCTCTGTGACCGTGGGGCATGACGCAAAGCGCTATCTTCCACCTGGCAGCATCTTCGACGAGTACAAGCAGTACATAGCGCTTGGAAATGCACAATGCTCTTTTAAGTGCTTCCTGAACGTTTGGCAGACCCACTTCGCTGGACTGTTGGGCTTTCGCGGCAAGAGGCAGCACGCGACTTGCCCGACGTGCACCAAGCACAAGCTGCTCTTGTCGTGCATGCCGAACGCTGCTGCAAGGTCTCGTCAGAGACTGCTCTACGACCGGCACCTAGCGGACCAGTACCGGGACAGACAAGTCTACTGGAAGGTCCGCGCCGAGTCAAGGATGCCGGACACTCAGACGCTCAGCATCGTGATGGACTCCATCGACCAGTCGAAGTTTGCTTGGCCGAGGGGAAGAATCTTTCGGTCGAAGCAGTTTGACGGTTTTCATAGACCACGGTTGCACATAACGGCTTGCATAGCTCATGGCAAGGCCGCCTTGGTCTACGTCGCGCACAGCGACGTCTCGCACTCTGGCAGCACTACGGTGGACATGCTGGCGCACATGTTTACCAAGCTGCGGGAGTCCGTGGCTTGGACAGATCTTAACATGTTTTCTTCTTTGGTCGTAGCAGCATGCCATCAGTGAACAATCTTATAAAAGAATATTTGACAGAAGCCTCTCCCGCTGAACAGGGGGTCGCTTTGCACGATATGAATGTCCATCTACAGCTGGACAACACGGCGTCCACCAACAAGAACGCGACAGTCTTGGCCTTCGCGGCATCCTGCGTTCAGATGCAGCTGTGCCGATCCCTGACCATCTCATTTCTGCGAGTGGGTCATACCCACGAGGCCAACTTGGGCTGGGGGTGGATGACTCAACACAGTGATCGTTACCTTCGCCCTAAACCCTGAACCCTAAGCCCTAATCCCTAAACCCTATTTGAAACCCTTAAACCCTAGGCCTAAGCCTTGCTTTGTTTTTCTTTTGGATGAGAGACTTTTTAGAGCAGATAGAGTTCTTCTTGACAAGGATTCCAGGAAAGCAGAAAATTGTAGAGCTGTATATTGTTGAAACATTTCCCGCTTGTGCCCCAGCCCAGCAGCGCGTTTTGCAAGTTCGTGCAGTTTTGATGACAGGATATTGATGCTTTCTTCTCGGAGATGACGACCTATATCCGAAAGCGGCTGCATTGGGCTGACAGCTTCGATACCTTCCGCAGGGTACTACAGGACTTCCTGAACTTGGGCACGCGCAAGCATGAAAAGCTGCGAGAGGCGATTGTTCTGGATCGAGTACGAAACTGGAAGGAATATTTCGAGTTCCTGGACTTCCAGATGAAGGGACACACTGGCCCCGCAGCTCCTCGAGTGTTCCAATTCGTGAGGCGTTCAGGCAGGCGACTCTCGGTCTGTGCGTTTAGGCTACGGCAAGGGTATGGTTCGTAGAGGGTTGAGGGGGTTCAGGGCTTTCTTTAGGATTTTGGGTTGAGGCTTTATGGTAAAAGGCGCGCTCACTTCTTCCCCTGATCTTGCCGCTAGAAATGTGAACCAGACGTAACATGCTTTCAAGGCCTTCCAGAGAAGCATCCTCTACGACAATGCGGATCCGGCACGGATGTGGTGCTGAGGCGCGGGGTGTTGTCAGCAGATTCACGCTGCTAAATAGTTTGCGCCGCGCAGGTGCAAGCAGTACATGTGCGACCCGCATTTCTATCAAAGCCTGGAGTTCTTGACAGTGGAGCGCATGAAGAAACTGCCTGGTTCACTGCCCACAAGTTACTTCGCAGCATTCCAGACATAATCTTGACACGCAAGCCATAGACTTTTTGGGCTGACGCTAAGGACCATCGTACAAATAAGGCTGTACTGTGCGAGGCCCGTACGGTAGCAACGATTTGCTTTTGGGCACAGACGCGATTTGAAGTTACAGAAATCAAAAGCTTTTTGCAGACCTGGGAAGTGGCTAAGGCTTTCAGGAGAGGCTTCGCAAAACCAAGAAGTACGTGTCCATGATTCTCAAATATGCGGACATGCTTGCCAGCCCTGACTTTGGTATGCCCCTCGCTACAAAGGAGTTGCGTGAATGGGTAACTGCGACGCGGAAGGAAGTACCTGAACTGAGTGTGAAGCATTGCGCCTTCTTTCCCCGACACCCGTCTGTCCATCTGGCTCAGCCGTTGGTCGCAAGCGGCTCTGAGAATGACGCTCCCGGCGACAGCGTCAAAGAAGCAGAAGGGCTGGAAGTCCCCGCGGCGCAAGTTGTTGTGTGCGAGAGGAAGTCGCAGGCAGTGTCTCGCAAACGCAAGCTGCAGGAAGACGCAACAGCGAAGCAGGCCGAGTCAGAGGCAAGCTTCAAGAGCAGCACTGTGATGTTTCTGATGAAGCAGCAAGACTTCAACCTAGCTGAAGCATCAAAGATTGCAGATGTCGCTTGGCGGAAGAAGCAGCTCCAGGATGCGACGAGATCAAAACCTGGACCAGCAACAGCTGGACCGAAACGTCGATCTCCTCTTCTCGATGCTGCAGAAGATGGCAGTGATCACGAGGTGACTGGGCGTTTCGTAAAGATTTTTTCGTGCTGCAAACCGGTGATTCTACTGTTTTTGTTTTCATAAGTCGTGAACATCTATAGGCTGGGATTGCAAGTTCCTGATTGCCTACTATGTTTTCACCGTAGAATGGACAAACTTGATGTGTGAAATCAATCCTCCACCCCTGTTCAATGACAAGGAGGCCAACAAAGCTTTGGATGTCCCTGACGGCGAGGAGTTCTCAGGGCCGTCTGCTGCCCGGGGGAGCAGGGATTGAGACCTGCTCTTATCTTTTGTTTCACACCTTGAAGCTGGACTTACTCAAGGGAGCCAGCCCCCTAATCCACGACCCCCAGAATTCAGGCCCCCTTTTTACACTTGCATCGCTACGTATGACAGCATTCTTCGCAAGTGTGAGTCATTGATAGTCATCCACTGAAGCTGGTCTTGATTAAGTCACTTCTCTTCGCTCTTGACGGAGCTCTACTTGGAGGTTCATGGGCACTTGCAACCCACTTATCAGTCTGCTTATATCCTACTTAGACTTTTAGGGAACTTCATAGGGGGTTTATAGTATTACAATTATAAGTAGCGCAGTAGGGTTAAAAGTGCCCTGAACCTGCAACGCACGGCGGCACGTCTTTCACTTTGGCCTAACCCACACTAACCTTCCTCCAGCCCTACAGGAGATCTAAGTTTAGAGACCTCTCTCGCCAGATACTTTCTCGCAACAGGGCCTTTTTCGCAGCAGCTCGTGCTCGTACCGCACACTCAGCAATGCATTCTCAATCTACAGCTTCAAGCCGGCCCGGGGTGCTAAGTCTTGAGGAAGCAGCGTGGGTCCCAATGGCCTTAAACTCAAAGCGTGAACGGCTATATTCCAGCGAACCTCACCATTCTCTTACGGGTTGGGGATTAGGGCCGAGTTGGCGCGGCCAAAGAACACTCCTGAACACTCCTGTCCCAGCCCCCTTAAAGAAAAACGAGCGCTGGCAACCGTGAGACTGCGACCTGCGACCAAACACCAAACATAAGCCCCCAACCCTTGGCCCTACGCCCCCAACAAATGTAAGCGCGGGGATCAGAAGCCATCAGCAGCCACGCCTTCCAGACATGGAGCATGAAAAGAAAGTGCCGAGAGTGTTGTGAGGGTGTCGTCACAGCATGTTGCTACATTTTTTGCGTCATGAGTCATAGCCGACACGAAAAACACGCTGTCGTCGAAGGCTTTGTATGGCCCGAATAGGCAGACCGCTAGCAGTCACACAGAATATCCACCTACCATGCTGGCACACCGTGTTTCGCAGATCAGCGACAGTGATGACGCTGGGGAAGAGCCTGAAGACATCCACCCGAAGGACCCCAATCCGAACAACTCTGAGACCGAGACTAACAGGTGGGCGAGGGGTGAGATTCTGTCTTCTTATCTAGCAAGCCCCAGAACGCCTGCAAACCCCTAAGCCCTAACCCCTAAGCCCACTGCAACGTGAAAGCCCAAAGAACACTGACGCGTGAAGGCGATCTCCCGGCCGTCCCAGCATGCTCGTCTTCCCCGTCGATGAGCTGAAGATCACCTTGGATGACAAGTCTGACAGCGGGGAGACGCTGCCCAACACCGAAGCAGTTATGCCACCCAACGCCAAGGAAGTGCCAACTAGCTCGTCTCCGACTGCTTCTGGACTTCAATCATTTCACGCGCGCAAGTCTATTATGCATAATACGCCTCTAGGCTAGGGCTGTCCACCTGTGAGTTCTCCAGTCAAGGCAATTGAGCCGCGAGGCATCCATGTCGCCGAGTTCTTTGCTGGCAGCGGCAACCTCGGGGCGGCGTTGGCGCGTCAAGGCTTTACTGTGGCAGCGTTTGACCTGAAGATCTCTACCTCTCACGACTTCACGAACTGCGACAAGGTCCAGCGCATGGTTGATGGAGCTTTACAGAAGGACACCAAGTATGCTCATTTCGCTCCACCGTGCAACTCCTTCAGCATAGCCCGATGGCCCAAGCTCAGGCTGGTAGAGGGCAGTTATCAATATGTCAAAGGTCAAACATTGAGATCAGCAGGTATTGGGGTATTTTGTTATTTTTCTCCGTTGCTATTGTCATTGCCAGGTCTCGCCGACACCCCGAAGGAAAACCAAACAAGAAGATGAACCGAAGGCAGAAGTGCGAGCTGTTCGTGGCCAATTTGATCGTGAAGAACATGGTGACAGCAATCTTGCAGTTGGTTCAGGCAGGATTGCGCATTTCAATCGAAAACCCTGCAAACTCACTGCTACTTGGCATCATTTATGACATGCTGGGCCCGTGGTTTTCCAGTCGAATCTGAAACAATCCTAATTACCCAGGCCGGACAGGCTAAACCCCCAGTCAGGGGCACGTCAGTTGCTTTCAATTCGGAAATTCGCAGCATTTCTCGCGTCTGAAAGCCTAGCTGCAGAGTAATGCCCCTCCAGCCTAACACAATGGCCTGCGTCGCTTGGCTGGAAAGCTTGCGGGGCGATAAGGCGTGCGCCGCCTGTTACCTCTCTTTCTACCAGGCTTTCCTCTCGAGGCCCGCGTGGACAGTGTTTTTGTACATTTCCCATGAAAGGATCCCAAAACCCTTTAAGCTTAACTTGCGTCTAAGCCTTAAACCTTAGAGCCTGGCAGTGATGAGGCCGGATGCCGTCAAGGCTGGCATGATGAGTCGAGACTGTAGATGCGACGTCCGGGATGAAGTCCAGGTCCAGCTTCAGGTTTCGGCAACGAAGGAGACATCGTCGCAGCAAACCCCATGATTGACAGATTGATCAGGGTCAACTCAGTGGTCCGAAAAGGAACGCTAATTTAATTCGATCTGGCCACGGTCATGACACATGACAATGACTGTCGGATGACATCGGCTGCAATCTGCGCGACTAGCAAAAAAAGCCATGAACTTTGCAGCCCCGCTTTGCATTCAAATTCGCAAAAAAACTCAGAATCTGTTGGGGCCCAACCCTCGCCAGCCTAGTCCATGAATAGGACGACAAGATTCCACAACTCAAAAATTTGGCAAGCCTGGCAGACCCGAAAGCCTAAACCCTCTATGAAAGGCCTGAGAACAACCAACCTTCCCAACTGCAGCGCTGCTGCAACCTGCAAGGTCCTGCGTGCCCTTTGAAAATGGTAGACTAGACCCAGACTAGACTTTTTAAACCCTGCGTCGCCGATCTCAGGCTGTGGCACATGCCGGACGTGCACCACTTGAAGCGCCTGGTCCAGCTGACTCCGGTCACTCTGGACTTCTGCAGGTGAATTGACAAGTATGGGCTTGGGCTTCATGATTCTGCGTCAGGGGGCTCCAGGCATCAGGCAATGCCCTAAACCCATAAACCCTCAAGCCCTACACAGTAAAGGCCCCAACCAGCCTTGAGTCTTCACACGTCTTGCCAAAAGGTACGGCGCAAACTACCGGAAGAGAACAACCATCTATGTGTCCGATGCTTCGATGCTGTCCGACTTAGAGAAGAAGTGCAATCATCGCCGACAACATCGTAGACTGGGCGCGTGGAGGGACCGCAAGAACAAGAAAGGCAACTTCCCTGAAGCTAAGGCTACGAAGGCTAAGAAGATCCAGGTCCAGCACCAGGCCACAAAGGAAGCAACCGCCTACCCGATCGAGCTTTGTGAGAGCTGGGCCACCTGCGTTGCGCAGCATATCCAATAGGCGAGCCTGGCACGGCGTGAGAAGCTCTGAGGTCAGTGTCGTTTTACTGGGACACTGAGTGGTTTATGGTTAGGGTTTAGAGCTTAGATTTCCATCATAAAACCCTAAACCCTAAACCCTAAAATTTAAAAAGGGTTAAGTTCGGGTTTAAAAGGGGAATCGTGTACAAGAATATGTAAAGAATGAAGTATGTGTTGTAGGCCCGGCTGGAGTCCATCACAAAATTTGGGGCGTCCATGTTCTGAGCACAGCGCGTGTTGATTGGTTTGGGGGCGTCCACGCATGCTGAGCGCACAGCACAAAATGTGACGGATTTGGGCTCCGTCGGAAATTTTGGGTTGTCCATGTTTTGCGCATTGCTGAGCGTGCGCATCGCCTCAAGCAGGCTTTAGAGAACTATATCATCGCGTTGCACGTGTTTCCACCCTGAGATAGAGGTACCGCTATGATGCGCGCGCGCGCGCATCATGAAATTTGCAGTGTAACAGTCCTGAGATTTTATGGACAATGAGCGTGCAACTTTTTGTGACGGATCCAGGCTGGGATCCATCACAAACTTTGGGGTGTTCATGTTCTGAGCACTGCGTGTTGGGCGCCCAAAATTTTGTGACGGATCCCACTGGGCTCCGTCACAAAATTTGGGGCGTCCATGTTCTGAGCACACTGCGTTTGAGCGCCCAAATTTTGTGACGGATCCCACTGGGCTCCGTCACAAAATTTGGGGTGTCCGTTTTCTGAGCACCCTGCGCTTTGAGCACCCACATTTTGTGACGGATCCCACTGGCCTCCGTCACAAATCTTGAGGGGCGTTCTGAGCACACTGCGTTTTGAACGCCCAAATTTTGTGACGGATCCCACTGGGCTCCGTCACAAAATTTGGGGTGTCCGTTTTCTGAGCACACCGCATGTTGAGCACCCAGATTTTGTGACGGATCCCACTGGCCTCCGTCACAAATCTTGAGGGGCGTTCTGAGCACACTGCGTTTTGAACGCCCAAATTTTGTGACGGATCCCACTGGGCTCCGTCACCAAATTTGGGGTGTCCGTTTTCTGAGCACACCGCATGTTGAGCACCCAGATTTTGTGACGGATCCCAATGGCCTCCGTCACAAATCTTGAGGGGCGTTCTGAGCACACTGTGTTTTGAACGCCCAAATTTTGTGACGGATCCCACTGGGCTCCGTCACAAAATTTGGGGTGTACGTTTTCTGAGCACACCGCATTTTGAGCACCCAGATTTTGTGACGGACCCCGCAACTCCTGGAGTGTCAGTGTTCTGAGCACACTGAGTTTTGAGCACCCAGATTTTGTGATGGACCCCACTGGGCTCCGTCACAAATCCTGGGGTGTCCATGTTCTGAGCACGACGGACCCACTGAGCTCCGTCACAAATCCTGGGGTGTCCGTGTTCTGAGCACACTGCGTTTTGAGCACCCAGGTTTTGTGATGGACCCGACTGGGCTCCGTCACAAATCCTGAGGTGTCCGTGTTCTGAGCACACTGCGTTTTGAGCACCCAGATTTTGTGACGGACCCCACCGGGCTCCGTCACAAATCCTGGGGTGTCCGTGTTCTGAGCACACTGCGTTTTGAGCACCCAGATTTCGTGACGGACCCCACTGGGCTCCATCACATTTTGGGTTTGGTTCAGAGTCCAAGCAGAATACTTTTGGTCACGAAAATATTTCCCCAACACGGATACAGTTTGTGATTGGACCCACTGGGCTTCGTCACAAAGCGTGTGTTTTGCTGAATGGGTTTGGTTTTTAAGGACCCTTAGATTTGGGTAACAGCCAAGAAAACCAGATGTTTGTGATTACACCCACTGGCCTTAATCACAAACAGGCGTTCTTTTGCAGAGACGGTTTTGTGACAGATTCTGCCCTTCAAGGCTTCTCGCAAATGATGGCTTGTCATACTGGAAACACGACAGGCTGCCCGAACTGCGTTTTCACTTAGCGAGTGTTCCAGCTATGAGCCGCCAGTACTAACGGTGGAGCGAGGCCCTGGACCAAAATGGTGCTATCATTTCAAAGTCTTTGCTGACGTAGAGACTTAGGGCATGCTATGTGTGAGCCTTGCGTGACTTCCCAATTGGATCACTCAAGCAAGCGGCCTTTGTCCACCCCTGCGTGGCGCTTGACTGGATCAAGCGGAAACCTGTCAACCCCTTTGTCCAACCCTTCGCTGCGCCTGTGCTTTGCGCAAGATGGGCAAGAAGAGACCTTCCACAGGTGGTGGGGGGGAAGAACGTCCAACGAGAAGGAAAAGCCAGACAAGTATGGAGGCACGCCCTGAGGTCGCACAAGCCTTCCTACTTCACCCATTCATGTCGCCGGCAATGGCCAAGTTCGATGAGTGGTGGGATCAACATGAAGATTTGGAGGCTATCATGTTCAGCTTGTGGCCTGACGAAAGCTCACAAACGGCTTGGGCCCACAGGCTGGACGAACTCTTCCCGCCTGACCCCATCATGGACTACCTCAAGTCTTCTTGGGGCGGGCATGGCCTCAAGCGCCTTCGTCCATACCACTGGGCATGGACGAAAAGTGCTGGCAACAAAGGCCCAGTCAACCGCGAAGCATTCAAGAACTTGCTTCAGAGTGTGATGGTGAAAGGCCTTTGCACGGACCACACGCAGCCAGGAGTGGAGTTGCCCTTGATTACGCAGCCCCGGCCGGAGCTCAACCACGCGACCGCTGGCAGTCACCCTTGCGTTTCGGAGGACCTCAAATCTCACGGGGTAAAAAATCCTAAACCCGAAGCCCTTAACCCGAAAACCTATACCCAAAACCCTAAACCCTAGACCGTAGACCCTAGACCCTACACCCTAAACCCTAAACCCTAAACCCTAAACCCTAAACACTAAACCCTAAACCCTAAACCCTAAACCCTAAACCTTAAACCCTAAACCCTAAACCCTAAACCCTAAACCCTAAACCCTAAACCCTAAACCCTAAACCCTAAACCCTAAACCCTAAACCCTAAACCAGTAACAGTAGCGGGAATAATTTCTTTCTATAGCCGAGCCTAAGCCGAGCCTTACTAAGCTGCCCTGTTCTTGAGGAGCTGGCTCCAGCTTTCTGCGTCCATGAGATCAAAGGATGGTCCAGAGCTACATCCATGCTTGTCGTGTTGGCGTTGATGGACGCTACCAATTCCATGGACGCCTACATCACCTACCTGCGCAACAATGGCAAGTTCGAAATGTTCCAGACACAAACCGCGAACTACCTGGAGATTCCGGACGACAAAGACGAAGTGGACATCAATCGCGGAAGCTCAGCTTCAGTAAAATCGTAAGTGATAGGTGAAAGCATCATTCAAGACCCGTTTATTCAGAAGCCTGGCAATCTAGTCAATGGCCCAATTCCCCTGGCAAACTCAAACTCAGCGTCACGCGTCCGCAGTGATGGCGACCCCCCGCTCGCCTGGACGGACCAAGCAATCAGGGTTGAAGGTTCCCTTTAAGGGCCTGCTGTAAGCCACTTTGTGAAAGACCAAAGAAGGGTTCTGGTATTGGGGCTACTTATCAGCACTATCTAATTTTTGCGGAAAGGATTGCAGGAGTAAGGGTCCCTTCTGAAGGCCACTTGAAGTGAAAGACCACTTGTGTTTCTGTTATCGGGGCTGCTTATAAGCACTATATGTAATTTTTGCAGAAAGGATTGCAGGAGTAAGGGTTCCTTCTAGGCCTTGGGCCTTCCTATTACTCTGGAAACACATGAGCCGAGATGTGACTCTGACTGCGACCATGACACGGACAAAGCCGAATTGCTTCAATTTCCTGTTCCAAATCCTCAAGAAGATTGAGATCCACAGCTCCGATGTCCGGACACAGTGTGATATCTTCAAGGCGTGTGCGTCTGACTACGGTCTCAGCAAAGCTGAACATGACGCTGTCGAGAACTTGCTGATGTACATCTCTCCGAAGGCCAGGGATATTCTGTGCAAGCTGGCGTCAACGCATGGCATGGTCAAAGGTCCCATCAATCATCAAGGCATCGCATCAAAAGCTCTCCGGTCCAATTTCCTTGTCAAGACCGATGTTGACTTCTACGAGGACAGGTTGAGCAACGATGACGAGACCGTGGAGCTTATCTTGAAGCGTATTCAGCTCGACTACTTGAACACCGCTGCTGGCATGAGGAGCAGTGCGTCTGATGACAAAGTTCAATTCCTTCAGAAGTCCGCCCGAATGTTTCTCCTGTACTGCGAGAACCTGCGCAGCAAGTTGCCTTTAGAGGCCAACCCCCCGAACCCACCCCACCCAGAAACCTTCTGACCCATGTCAATCTCTAACCTAAGTCAACCCTCCTCTCTGTCTCTGTCAGGTCTACACGGCTGCGCTCCCAGCCTTGCAAGAGAGCTTCTTGAACAGCAGCTTCGACGACCACCTCGTGGAGCGGAGGGTTTATGTAACCCAAAACCCTTAAATCCTTCATGGCTTGGTCTGTTCCTAAACCCTGAACTTGAGTTCACAATCTACAGGAGTCTTGGGGTTCGGTTGCGCTTTTGACACTGTATTCATCCTGTAAATCCCCCATTTTCATCTTTAAAGCTCCAGCAGAGTCGCTAGGCCTTAGGAACCTCAGTCTGGCAGCCTGGTGTCTAATTGTCAGTGTGGTTTTTTCGTGTCGGTTTTTGGCCACACAGCATGACCGTCGCCCGGGCTAGTGCTAACTTCCAGGAGCAGCGCGAGAAGCTACCGGTGCCACTGGAATGCACGTCGCTGCCTGACTTCAAGTACATCGTCGATAGGTCAGAGGCGGAAATGAGAAGCGCAGAGCTGAAGAAACGCAAGGAGCTCCAGATCAAAGTAGATCATGCGAGTTTCGAGTCGCTCGAATCTGAGATCAGCGAGGATCTTGAGAAGCTCGTGCAGTACGACAAAGACCTGGCCCGAGCGAAGGATCTTTGGGCCCCCAAGGTCCAATCGCACCAAAGGAACAGGCGCGAGACTGGTCTCAAGAGGGTCAAGGAAGTGATGGACAGCCGCCTCAGCATTATCACTTTGGACAGTGGCTACAAAAGCATCCCCAAGCACTTTGGGAATTTCAGGGCAAAGTGTGCAAAGGATATGGACTTGACGAAGATACGTGAGGAAGCCCAGTAACTCAGCTGTATATTGCGTTTTTTGTTCTGGCCAGTCGCAATTACATTGAAGAACCAGGGGTCATGAGAAACCGAGGGAGACATTGGTCGTTCTGGATTTGGGGAAGCCGCCGACGCTGACAGCTGCGCTTGAGATGCTGAAAGCTGGAGCGGATATTTGCCACCAGTCCGCCAACAACGCGCTCCTCCTGAAGTACCCGTGCAAGACCACGTCCACCAACATGAAGACGCATTTCAATTTGGTAAGGAAGCTGGAGGACGGCCTCCTGACAAACTCGCTCAACATTGACATCGCTCTCAACGTGCTCTTCGACACTAGCAGCTTTCACGGCAATGACAGTCGAGAAGCTTTGTCACGTTTGCGGCTTTGCCTTTCGGATAATTTCGAGCACAGCCCGTGGTCAAAATCTTTGGCGACAGACAACCACATGCTCATCGACAATGTCCCCATCATAAGCCATCGGGACATGAGGCACATCCCTCAGTCGAGCGTTGAGTTCCAGACCGAGAACATCGGTCCCCTCGAGAGGACAGCCAGGGTTGTTGCAGCTTGTTCATATTTTAGAACCCTTGTCAGAGATCTTGAACCTCGTCTACGGATTCACCCTGTGTCAGGGTGGCCCAGTTGGGAGCAAAAGCGTGGAAGACGATCTTGCAGCGTCTCACGTGCGGTCGGGGAGGCGAAGATCAAGGCCCAACAACCCGCAAAGTCACAGTGCTCGATCCTTGCCCGAACTTTGGGGACGTCCTTGAGGCAGTCTGGATGCTCAATGAGGACTGGCAGAAGGGCGCTGAAGTTCCGTTGTTTGTTGGGGCGGGCTTTTACTGCGCAGCAGGAAGCGCTGAAGCTGAAAAGTCCAAGAGCCTTGGAATGACGAGCTTTTTGCAGGGCATGCTCATGCGACGATGGTGGGAGCCGAGTACAGAAGCAGGCCCGGCAGAACCCCGCCGGACATCTGACACGCAGGTCCAGAAACCCACCCTGCACAAGTTGACGTGGGATGACAGGACAGGGAAAGCAATCGTCCCCAACGTTGTGCTGGAGAGATTTCGGGATGCGGACCCAGACGTGCGGGACAAGTGGGAGCTGTTCAGCAAGCAAACGAAGGACTGACAGTGGATAAAAGATCACATCATGTTGCTTTCATCGTTGTGGTTGGTGTCTTGCTTGGCCCCAAACCGTTCACTGTCAGATAAGGTGGTTAAAGGCAGACCTAACAACTCCTCTAATCCCGACCAGGAGGCGCTGGGAAATCTCGGATCGCTATCATCGGCATCTACGTCTGGGAATGACTCGGGTACAGTTGGAATCAAGCTGGACGGTCCGGAGTTTGACCCTCGAGGCACCCAACCGGTCGACCTGAAGAGAAACCTCAACCCACTTGTGAAGGACTACGCAAAGCAAGACATGGATATGACGAGAGTGTTCCTCGATCTAATTCAGACCCAAAACTTCCCAGCAGTCACAGGTTAATCCCTGGGTTCTGCGCTGTCAGGTTCTCAGGCCGAGGCCCTTCGGATTCAGCATTGGCCAGAGAGTCGCCTGACAGACTGAGGCTGTACACTGTGAAGCCCACCCGCGCGCAGCCCGGCATCTACATCACCAAAGACATGTCAGTTCTTCTCTTCATCGAAAAGGACATGCATGGCAATAGCTTCAACTGCCCGGCCGGTGAGCTTTTCGGGTTCGGGAGCGGCACGTTGCTCTACGATGTGATGGCTGGATTCCAAGGACATTCCACTACGACGCAATTTTTATTTTTGTGATGTGTCATGTATCTACTGTTTTTTGCGTTGTGCATTCAAGCATTGAGACTGTGAGGCGCAGTGGGGGCCACTCCGTTCATCATAAGCCACGACACAGACTACGTCGTTGCTGTCGATGAGGGCAAGAAGGAAATCAAAACGATCTGCTCACTGGTGTTTGAGGCTACACCGTGTAAACAAAGAGAGCAACCCCGCTGTGAAGCAATCAGCGTTGAGTATTGCAATCATATCCCGTAGTTCTTCATTTACGCGCAGCAAACACCCCGCCCCAGCTGTCGCTAGGCGCTAACCCAACAGCTGCCCGTGCCCCATGTGGTGCCTGCAGGCAGCGCAACTGGGCATCCCCGACCTGGTGGTGGAGCATCACGAGTGTGCGCCGAAAACTATGTCCAAGCAGGCGGCTGGGAATGAGGGACGGTTTGTCGTGTGGAGCAGGGCTCAGTCTGAATGATGGGTTTGTCGCGGGCGCTGGGTAACCATCCTAAAACCCTGAATCCTAACGCCTATACCCGCAATACTCTGACCTTTGAAAAGTGCGGAACGGCTGTCTGTGGTTGGACCAAACATGTAGCCCAAAAACCCACACATCTTGCAACCTGGGAAATACACAGGTACACCTTTCGGAGGCACTCCAAAACTAGGGGATAGGATTAGGGGGGCCCTTGGGATATAGATCCTCTGAATAAGGTCCCTGTTTAAGAGAGCCAGAAGAGGGTTAAGAAGGGGTCCCAGGGTCCCCCTTATCCTACCTAGGAAAAACGCGAATTCCTCAACCCGACAAATGTTCCCTCACGCCAGAGACTTGAACTGGAAGCCCACGCCATGTGCCAGGGCCGGGACGTGCAAATGTACTGCCGCATCGACCTGAAAGCCAAGGCCAAGGGCATGGCATTCGTGGGTGATCGCCTAGATGACGGATCGCTTGCTACGCCAACTATGAAGCGAGGATTTGTAGGGGCTCTGTTCCGAGATAATTTCAAGAATCTTCCTTTTGCTGCTGGCTACGTGATTTGGGAGGTGCAAAAATCGCTGAACCCACCTGCCATGCTCAAGCCCTCGAAACCCAAATTTTGGTTGACGGGCCAACTTGAAATGCAAGCAGACCGCGTGTATGAGTTGCAGTGACAATTGGTCTTCCGGATCCCAGGCTGCTACCCTGAGCGTGTCACGCATAGACTTACGCTAATCCGAATAACCTCGCCTTCAAGGTCGCGCTGTACCTAGAATGTAAAAGGTTCTGAAACTTGCGCTCAGCCCTGGGTTGTGGATGTCACTGATTGAGAGAGAAGCCGGGTGACATTGGTCGGGTTGCCCCTCATGCACCGGTTCCACTACCCTGTAGCTTACAATCCACACCAATCGACGAAAGCCCGAAAGACAGCCCGCCGATGAGCGCCGAGCGCTGCACACGGCCTGAACCGATGTCAGAGGAAGCCAGCAAGCCCCTACTTTCAACTTTCATGTTTTGCCTTACTCATATTGAAGTTAAGCCTACAATCGAATGCGATGTATCAGCAGGCAGGCTTCCCTTTCGGCAGGCTGACTTTGACACTGCAGTGCGAAAAGGCTGACAAGCGTTAGTGATTTCCAGAACTTAAGTCCTTCTGTCATTCAGAGTGTGTTTTTGTGTTGAGGCACGACGCGCGCCGAGCGAGGGTCAAGCTATTTTCCTAGCTTAGCTGCGTGTAGCTGCAATCAAACGATCATGGGAGACGTTCATCGTGTGGACGTTACGGATTCAGAGCCGGAATGCCTGGGCCCCAGCAACCACGTGAAGTCATCCAATCGACAGCCTCAGGCTGAAAGTTCAATTTCAAGTTTTGGAAGGTCATCGCACTGACATCACCCTAAACCCTACACCCTACACCCTAAACCCTAAACCCTAAACCCTAAACCCTAACCCTAAACCCTAAACCCTAAACCCTTGTCAAACATCACAGGAGCCTACCTTCAGTTTAAAGTCGCCAGCCAAGCCCATGCCCCAGAAATTGAAACAGCGATCCACATGGGTCCGAGGTGAGCCGTCGCAACCCGCAGCGGTCGCCGCCACCAAGGAGGGGGCCGTGGAGGATCAAGAGCCAAAGAAGGGCAAGGCTAAGGCCAGGCCCAAGACACAGAACAAGCGAGGCAAGGCCAAGTCAAAGGCGAAGAGCAAGCCTAAGGCGAAGGCCACCAAGCCCGAGGATGATGTAAGCCCAGCTGAAGCAGCCATGCGTCAGGAAGAGAAAAGCGCAAAAGAGACACCCGACTCCGAAGAGACGCTCCAACCCGAACCGTCCCCAAGAAACCCGAAGTCTATGGCCAAGGCGAAAGCGAGGAACCAGAAGCCGAGGAAGGCCATGAAGAAGACCAGAAAGGCCATGATGAAGAAGTCCTCCAAGGAGCAGGGTGCCAAAAAACCGCGCAAAAGGCGTGCAAGGAAAAGCGACGGGGCAACGTGGTTTGGTGAGACGGGCACTAGCGGTGACCTGCCAGCAGAGATTGTGAGCGACGAAGAGGAACCGATGGAAGCTCAAGGTCCAGAAGCCGTCTACAAATTCCAACAGGACTAGGGATTCTAGGCCACGAAAGCTGAGAACGAAGCACCCCCCAAGTCTACTTATGTTCAATGCTTTCTCGGAATTCTGTGCCTCGAAAATAGAACTCTCAAACCCTTAACGCCCTTACTCCGGTACGACAAGCCTGGGCAGTCCCTCGATAGCTGCCGGGATCAAGCCTGCAAGGATACCAACGCCAACGTGGAGGCGGCCCAGGAAGGTCAAGACAACAGTGCCAATGACACGACGGAGGCAGGGCTCAAATCTTAGGTGAGCTTTTCGGATTTACAGGTCGAGGGTTGAGGAAACTCGAAAGCTCAATGTCAGCCGGGGTGTTTTTTGGAATGTCAGTCTGTGGGGGTTACGGGTGCAAAATAGGGTGATTGGGGTCTGACTTGAGATTCAGGCTTCGGACCAGCAGGCCCTCACCCCGAACACTAAAGGCCCAAAGCCCAAGAAGCCTGAACCCCAAACCCCTCAACCCCAAACCCGAAAAGGCCACAGATCCTGACTCGTCTACACCCTCAAGGCCCGATCCCTAAAAGCCTAAACCATTCACTTTCAAAGTAGGCCCCGCACGCGTGGGTCTCACCAGTCGCAGGCCTCAGCAACTTTGGACCCTAGATGTCAAAGCTATTCTGATCCAACCCGAAGTACCTCCCCCCGCCCTTAACAAACAAACCCTACACCACTTTTATTTATTTTGACTTTGCTGACCCAAAATAACCCACTAAACTCTTTCTGAAACTCCGAACCCTGAAGAGCACTGCCCCAGGCGGCGATGAAGAACCTCCTGAAAGAGAAAGTGTGGGGCGAGGGCTCGCATGTGTACAAGGTCAAAGTGGCAGGACAGAAGAGGTGCATCGTATCCCTTATGCACTGCGATACGAACTCTCCGGACGTCAAAGCCAGACAAATCCTCCAAATCGTGGTCAAGGACCCCATTCCCTCCTGGACCTGCGCGATTATCATGAACCAGATCACGTGGGACGTCCGCAAATGCAATGTGGCGAATGAGGCGAACGCACTCAGGGGCAGACGTGATGCGCTGCTCGGAAGCGTGCATGCTGGCACCTGGCTTCAGACACTCGAGGCTTCGTTCAAAGCCGGCCTTAACTTCGGGGAGGATCTGAGCCGCGAGAGCTTGATGAGCCTAGTACAGAAACACAAGTCCGAGCTTCCCCCGCAGCTGAGTGTGAGTCAGGTCAGTTAGGCTATGAACTGAAGGTTACTGCCGATTTTTGACACCGTTCAGCCTGTCAATTTAGACTAGATAAATCAAAACATGTGGGCTGGAACGGACTGCAGTTTGACATTGAGTGTGCGCCTTCACCACCTCGCTGAATCTGAAGCTGGCCCGCCTGGTCGAAAGGAAGTGTACGTGTCAATTCAATCTGTCGGCTGCAACAGGTCATCACAAGTTTTAGTCCTTGCTCATTATTCGAAGTATCCAGAACGCCGGTCAAAGCATGATAAGCGCCAGGCACGAACACCGCCGCTGAAGATCGCAGCTGCCTCACGCAGGGTTTATAGAATAGGGTTTTGGGTTGAGGGATTGGGGTTGAAGCTTTCTTTTTGAGATTGTTGCGGGGTGTCCCGACAAGGGTTTGAATTTATAGATGTATAGGAGCTTCAAACAGTATCGCGGAAGTATGCTCCTTGCATCGGGCATAGCAAGTCACAAGCGTGGGCTGGTGATCACACTCTGCAAGTCTAGACCCCAATCTCCGAGCAGCAATCCCCAAATTTGAGTCCTAAAACGCAACGAAGCTCTCCAGAAACCTGTGAAGGATCACACGGCTTCAAGCTTGTATATTTTCAAAAAGATAACTGATTACCTGTTTATATACTTATATAATTCTGGTAGCTGCAATAGACTCGTCGAAGCTCACGCCCGAAATTCAAACCCCAAGCCTTACACCCCGCGCTGCGAACCCCATTAAAGTCCGAACCCCAAGGCCAAGCGCACGGCAGTCGCCGCGGCCATCGCATTCGCCATCACGGCGTGGCACGCAGGGGTCCCAAGGGCTTTCAGATCTTATAGGGCTTGTAGGGCTTATGGAGTAGCCATTACAGGTCCGAAACCCCGAAAAAGCCTTTCAGCTGGACTGAAGCTAGGCATTCAACCCTAGCAGCCCTGTTCTTTGACAATTTGCTGAGAGCGTCGAGGGGTTTGGGGTTTCAGAGTCAGCTAACGCACGAACTCGAGAAAGGCAAGTCCAAGACCGACGCGTGTCTTAAGCACGCAGAAACTGACGAAAATACTTCCAAGCTACATGCAAGCGCTGCAGCGCATTGAAAAAGAATACCCATCCCGCGCTCTACAATGCTCAGCCTCGAAAACTCCTTAATTTTTATCTGTCTAGGATTTTAAGTTGCGCGCGAACTTGACTGGAAGTTGGGAGCATTGTCTGTTGCGCACAAGTCTCGGTGGAAAAATTTGCACCGCAAAACAATGACCTACATTGCGACGCTGATTCATGAATGGGGCAAGGCAGCTCCACAAAAGAAGCAGAATCTCCAGTCAACAGACCCAAGCCTGCGCCCGCAGTACGGGCACCATCTTGGAGCCACCGCTGCTGACTCTGCTGATCCCAGACTTAAAGGACTTGACGCAAGTTCTTGGACCTCATCTCCTGGCCTGGGCTCTGACAGACTCAGAGGCCCAACGACAGGGGCCAATGCGCGTGCGATGGCGTGGCGCTTGCGTGCATTTGTAGGGGTATCATAGTGCTTCTTTAGGATTGCTACTGACGTCCTGGTGATGGCAGCAATTAAAGTCATACTAGCACCGGCTTCAGCAAGTAGCGACACACAAGTCTTCTTGAAAGTGTGTGTGCCGACTCGCTTTAAGTCCACATCTGAAAAGGTATGCGTTTTGCCTTGGTCTTCTACTTGTTTCCTGTCAGCTGCAATAAATGCAACAGCCTTGCGAACAACTTCATAGTACGCCCGCTCAGTGACTGGGATTTTCCAAGCCTGCTTCTGGGTGGCCGTGTCTTTGCCTGGAAACAGACAGGCGTCTGCTTGTGTGAGATCTTGGCCCCGCAATGGCCACTGGCTGCCCCTCGCCCCCTTCAGCGGCGCTTCTTCTATCCAGTTGCGAAGCAATGATGCAAAAGACCGGTCTAATGGAAAACTGCCAGCAACGGTCTTGGCATTGACATTGTCAGGGATGCGTATCTGCGGCAAGTTTGAGGCAGCGTCCGCATTTTCAGTAGAACAAACATTCACCAGCCATGACACCCGACACGAACGAGTGCAGTCCGCTCTTTCCCCCATGAACAGTTGCAGAATCAACAGCACAGCCGCCCACGGAAAACCGCACTCACAGACAGCAAAAAAAAATTCTGTAACCTGCTGAACACTGAACGCCTCGCAGCCAGACCCTGAATGCGATGATTTTGGTTTCCCAACCCTCTGACACTGTCTGAGGTGCTGCTCGCAGCAGAACTTCACAACCTTGCAGTTCTTGCGCAGCTCCCGGCAGCGATCTAGCTGCACTGATCTTCGTGGCAGAGAGTGCTGCGCGTTCTTGCAATTTTGCTCACTGCCACAGTCCTTCATGCCACATAGTATGATGCCTGT